GCCCCCCACACACACACACACACACACACCAACCGCCCTCACCAAACCCTAAACCATAAACCCTAAACCCTAGATCCAGTACCGTACAAGGATCTTTGATAAGGAAATCTACCTGCCACACTCCTCATAGCTAAGTACCTTGTAGATCTACACACTCTAGCTAGCCTCTTGGTTAGCTACAGCCCGCTACAGCTAGCCACAGCTAGCTACAGCCAGCTAAAGCAAAAGACAAGCAGCCGCCTGGCTAGAAACATCAAAAGACAGCTAGCTACAGCTAGCTGTTGCTAGCTACAGCTAGCTATTGCTAGCTACAGCTAGCTACAAGTAGGTACAGACGGATACAGATGGCCACGCCTAGATGCAGCTAGACACAGCTAGCTACAGATAGCCATAGCTAGCCCCAACTGGCTACGGGTAGACACAGCTAGCAGCAGCTAGCTAGATACAGCTAGCTAGCTGCAGCTTGCTGTGTCTAGGTAGCTGCAGCCGAAGGCAGTCTTGCCAACAAAAAAAAGGCCCAAGGAGCCAAGAGCCCTGCGATGAGTAACACCCGCCGTGGCTTCTTTACCCAAACACTAAACCCTAAACCCTCGAAAGGCCTAATTCCCCCAAAACCCTAAACCCTAGCAAACCCTTATAAAAGAGACACTGTACATGTCTCCTTCCTTCTGAGCAGAGAAAGGAGGGAGCATGAGACAGATGGTGCTGTCTTCCCCCCTTCATTGTCTGCTGCTGCTTAGCTGCAGCTGCAGCCTTTGCTGCTGCTGCTGCTGCTGTCGTGTCTGCGGCACTTAACAGCTGGTGTTACTGCATTGTTTGTTATTGTTGCTGCTGCTCCGTCTCTTGCCTCCCTCTCTGCTGCAACTATGATCGCTGCTGCAGCGTTTTCTTCCCCGTCTCAACCTCCTCATCCTGCGCCTGTTGCTGCTGCTGTTGCTGCTGGTGCTGCTGCTGCTGTTGCTGTTGCTGAGAACAGCGGCTGTTCATCCATGAAGCAAGGAGACGAAAGAGAAGATGTTGCCCTGGCTCATTAGGGAGATCATGCAACACATCTATACCCTTTAAATAATACACGTGGGGTCCCACACTTGTGGGGCTTGCATGCATTTGCATGCGTTGCTCATAAGCAGCAACCCCAGTCATTAGGGCTTCCTGCTGCTCCTGCTGCTGCTGTTGCTGCTGCTGCTGCTGCTGTTCGTTGTAGTCAGATGCAAGGACTTCCAAATTGAACTCGGGGTACACTGCATGCAACTTTGGATGCACCTGCTGCAGCAGGCTACTACTGCTGCTGCTCCTGGTGCTGCAGCTGCTGCTGCTGGTGCTGCTGCAGTCGTCTCCCTCCTGTCTTGATATCGTTCCCTTGCCGTCTTCCCCTTTCTCCGCAGCAGGCTCAGCACCAGGCGTAGCAGGAGAAGCAGCAGCAGCAGCAGCAGCACGTCCTTCAATAGCTAGTAGCTGTCTATCAGGTACCCCCAATAAGTTATTAAAACATGTAATAGATCCATTAATATCACATAAAGGATCTTGTAGTGTATGAATAAGCAGCACAGATGCAGCATCTTGCTGCTGCAGCAGCAGCAGCTCCTCTCTCTCTGTTGCTGTCTCCATCTGCCATATAAGGGGAACCCCGATCCCCAAGGGGACACCTCCCTTATATGTTAACGGGTCTGATTGAAAGTATTCATGCAGGTGAGGGTAACGACGCCGACTCTGCAGCAGCAGCAGCAGCAGAAGCAACAGCAGCAGCAGCAAAAGTAGCAGCTAAAACAGCAGCAGAAAAAGCCGCAATAGAAGAAGCAACTGCTGCAACGAAAACAGCAGCAGCAAGAGAAGCAACAGGAACAGCAGCAGAGACAACAACAACAGCAGCAATCACAGGAGAAGCAGCAACAGGAGCAGCAGCAGCAGCAGCACCGTTTCTTACAGTTCTAGGGGGAATGATTGCTGCATGCGGCCTAAGAGCAGCAACAGCAGCTGCAGCATACTGCAGCAGCGGCACTCGCTGCAGATGACGTCTCCTTGATAGCTGCAGCATTGGAGATAGCAGCACTAATCCTTGTAGCCCTAGTGCATCTTCTGCTTCTGCTGCAGCAGCAGCAGCAGCTGCAGCAGCAGCAGCTGCTGTGTTCGTATCTGCTCCTGCTGCATCAGCAGCAGCAGCAGCAGCAGCTGCTGCGTCTGCTGCTGCATCAGTTTCTGGCGTTCTGCAGAAATCAGTATTGAAAATGTCATTATATGCAAAATCTGTTGCTGCAACAGAAGAAGCTGCTGCTTTGGGGTCTGCTGCTGCTGCAGCAGCAGCAGCAGCAGCAGCAGCACGTTTGCGTCGTTGTGCTGCAGCCATCTGTACAGCCCTCAATGCAACCCAACCACCAAGAGATAACCCAACAACAAAGAGAGGAGGTCCAGCAGCAGCAGCAGGAGCAGCACCAGCAGCAGGATCTGGTTGTTGTTGCTGTTGCTGTTGCACTCCACCATACCCCTCGTTTCTCCCTTGTCTGAGCATATCTCGTTCTCGTTCTTTCTGCTGTTGGTGTTGCTGTTGGTATTGTTGCTGTTGGTATTGCTGCTGTTGGTGTTGTTGGTGTTGTTGTTGGTGTATATTTACATTATATATATGATATTCTTGTTTAATAATATGTAGAAATAAAAGTAAATCAGCAGCAAAATCGTGTAAATTTTTAACAACACATTTTTGATGTTTATATCCATCGGATCGTCCATGGCCTTGTAAATCAAATCCTAATACATCATATCCAATTCTATTTAATCCTTCTACCCAACTACCTTTATATAATGATATTAATTTATTTCTATTACAATTCATGCTGCTGTTGCTGCTGCTGTTGTTGCTGATGCTGCTGTTGGTGGTGGTGGTGGCGGTGGTGCTGGTGGTGGTGGTGGTGGTGGTGGTGGTGGTGGTGGCGGTGGTGGGGGTTAGGCCCGCTGATGATAGGGATGATAAGGATGATGGTAAGGATTGTGTTGATGATGGGGATGATGATGGAGATGATGATGGGGTTGTTGGTGCTGCTGCTGCTGCTGCTGATGCTGCTGATGCTGCTGATGCTGATGTTGTTGTTGCTGCTGGTGATGGTGATGGGGATGGGGAAGGATATCCTAAAGAAGAATCAACAGAAGAAAGAGACCTATCACTTGATAATATTCCACCTGTTGTTGTTGCTGCTGCTGCTGTTGCTGCTGTTGCTGTTGCTGCTGGAGGTTTATGAAAAAAATGACTGCAGCAATGTTCACCAAGACCATGAACAAGCAGCACAACTCCCTTTACCCTCCTATCCTTATTTATGGGCCCCCAGAGGCCCTTCTGAGGGGCCCCTTTTGAACCTTCTTCTGTACCCTCCTTCTGCTGCTCCTCCTGCTGGGGATGTTCTTGTTGTTGTTGCTGCTGTTGCTGCTGCTGCTGCTGCTGTGTCTTCCTGTCGTGACGCCACCTGTACACCTGAATCTTTAACCCTTGTGCATTATAAAAAAAAGATACCTCGGGGGCCCCATCCGGGGGCCCCTCACTGTTAGTACCCTCTGGAGGAGGAGGGGAGGCTCCCTCGTTATCGGCGGCACCAACCTGCTGAGGGGGGCCCCCTGCTGCAGCACCACCAGAACCAGCAGCAGCAGCAGCTAAGGCACCTTCTTGCCCATCGACCCCCCCCGATAGGTTATATGCTCCTTTAAAGGGGGGGCCCCTCGAGGGAAAAAAAGGGTTTGATGGTACTGCTGCTGCTGGCTGCAAACACCTTGCAGGGGCCCCCCTACCCTGTCTCTCTCTGCCGCAGCTGCTGCTCCTGCTGCTGCAGGCGACACCCTTGTGCTCTGAAGAGAGCAGCGAGGGGGCCCCCCTACCAACAAGGGCCCTAATGATATAGCTGCTACAGCTCCAAGCATTACACGAAGAAGCAAGTTGCTGAAGGCCGCTGCTGCTGCTGCTGCTGTTGCTGCTGCTGCCAGTATTACTTGTGCTGTCGTCGTCGGCTACAGCAGCCGCTGCAGCAGCAGCAGCTGCAGCTGCAACGCAGCGACATTTCGGAGGCAATTTTCTTTCTACCGACTGAAGACGAACCAGTAACTGCTGTTTCTGCTCTTGTTGCTGCTGCTGCTGTTGCTGCTGCTGCTGCAGCCGCCTTATTAGCGGCCGAAGACGCGTAGCGCGGGAGAGGTTTGCTGCAGGTCCCCTAGGTAGCCACATTACGGGCGGTCAACCCTGAACCATACACCCTAGACCCTAGACCCCAAACCCTAAACCCTAAACCCTAAACCCGAATCCCTCTCTAACTGTCAGCGTGGTTGCGATAGGTAAGGTACCTTGCTGCTTAGGACTTAAGCGCGGAGCCCTACACCGTAAACCCTAAACCCTAAACCCTTGGCTGAAGGATTTAAAACCCTAAACCCTTGTAGGGTTTACGAGGGTTTGCCGCTAACTGGTAAACTGCAGCTCTGCAGTAAACCCCAGCCCCAGCGGTCGTGCACAACCACCTGGCTCGCCGCATGAGGGTTTAGGGTTTAGGGTTTAGGGTTTGAGAAAGGAACCTCTGCAAGACACCTTTTTGACTAAATAGCAACAGAGAGAGAAAGAAGAAAGAAATTCACACGCAGACATTGAATAGTGTGTAGCATACTGCCCAGGTAGCGCATGCAGCATCAGCAGCAGCAGCAGCCCGTGTTGCTGCTGCTACTGCTGCCACAGCAGCAGAGGAGCAACATTGCGAAAGTTATATAAAGTTCTCTATTTAAGGTGTACATACACCTCGTATATCTTACTCTGTTGCTGTTCACCACAGCAGCAACCGAATCTCCACATCACCCCGTGCAGCAGCAGCTGCTGCAGTAGCAGCAACAGAAGCAGCAGCAGCAGCAGCAGCAAAATAGGAAGCAAAACTGCAGTATCTTCTAACGACTGCTGCAGCAAAATGACTTCTGTCTTCCGCCGCCTACCCGTAAGATGCTGCAAATCTTCCTTGACCCCTTGCTGCTTGTCTTGTTGCTGTTGCTGCTACTGCTGCTGCTGCTGTTGTTGTTGCTGCTGCTGTTGTTGCTCCTGCTGTTGCTGATGCTGTTGTTGCTGCTACTCCTGCAGTTGCTTTTGTTGCTGCAGCGGCTACAGTGACAGCAGCAGCAGCAGCAACAGCAGCAGCAGCAGCCAGGGAGGCGGCTTGCAGGATTGCCTTGAAAAGGCAGTTTCTGTTGGCTGCTCCATTTGTGCCTTAGGGTTTAGGGTTTAGGGTTTAGGGTTTGTGTGCAGCTACCTACCACCTTGAGGGTTTACGAGGCGAAATCAACTCTAAGGAAAGGCCCTAAACCCTCGGACGCTCCCTTGTCTCTTGCTCAGGCTCTTGCTGCTGCTCCTCAACCCATTACCTTCCTCCATGTAAACCCTAAACCCTAAACCCCAAACCCTTGCTTGTTCACAGATTAGAGGACTGGCGCTGCTTGCTGATTCGCACAAACACCAATTCTACAGCCAAACCCTAAACCCTAAACACTAAGCCCAAAATTGAAAACCCTAAACACCTCATCAGCCGTGTATTCGTTTCAGTTGCTCTGTATCCAGGGTTTAGGGTTTAGGGTTTAGGGTTTGTCACACAATGCGTTAGAAGTGTATACGGATGCGGAGATCAGTTAAACCCTTCGCTCCTGCCGTTATTTCTCTTCCTTTTATTGTGCTTTTATATTTTAGGGTTTATTAGGGTTTATTAGGGTTTATTAGGGTTTATTAGGGTTTATTAGGGTTTATGAGGGTTTAGGGTTTAGGGTTTATGCTGCAGGTGGATTGTTTAAAAGGTGTACCTGTAGATATAAATTTACAAGAGAATTCATCAGACCCTTATTTTGCTCAACATATAAGAGATATGTATAATAAATTCTTTATAAAAAAAGATAGCTAGCTAGCTAGCTAGCTAGATAATTAGCTAGCTAAGTATCTAGCTAGATAGATAACTTAATTGCTTTCTTGCTTGTTTGCTTGCATGTTATTTGGGCTAGCTGGATACCTAGCTGGCTGTCTAGCTAGCTACCCAACTGGTTGGCTAGCTAGCCAGCTAGCTGCCCAGCTAGAGGGCCAGCTAATGTGGGCTAGCTGTTGGATCCGCTAGGTGGCTAGCTAGCCGACATATTTGCTAGCTAGCTAGCTAGCTAGCTAGCTAGCTGGGCATCTCGGGCCCATTTGTTGGGTAGCGCCTAAGAATAGGTTGCTCAGCTAGCTAGCTGCCTATTGGCGCAAACCCTAGGTGGGCTTGTCAGTTTGTGGGGTTTTCAGGTGTACGTGCACAAGCAAAACACTGCTGCCATTCTGCTAGAGTGTATGGGGACTCTTGAGGGTTTAGGGTTTAGGGTTTAGTGATGAGGCCTAAAGGGGCAACCGAGGGTTTAGGGTTTACGTCTCAGGCTTCACAAGTAGTAAACTTCTGCATGCAGTACCAACCAAAACAGCAGCAACAGCAGCACAGCAGCAACAGGACAGCAGCAACAGCAGCAGCAGCAGTAGCATGAGCGGCGGCGCGCTAGTTCTAAGGCGAGTTAGGGGTTTAGGGTTTAGGGTGTGGTGTTAGGGTTTATACATACACACACCGTGCTGCTGCTGCAGACACCCAGGGGCCCCCCTTAGAGGAGAGGGTACACCCTATGGGGCTCATAGAGGCCCCTTGCAGGGTGTCCCCAAGGGGGCCCCCCTGGTTCGTAGGAGGGTAGTAAAGGTTTATTAGAGGGGCCCCCTGTAGGGTTACGGAGGAGTGCTTGCTGCCTGTGTGTACACCAGAGTTCTAATAAAAAGATTAAACAAAATAAAAGGAATAGTTAATTATTTTCCTTCTTAATTTTACTAAACCCTCAGCAGAGGCGGCAGCAGCAGCAGCAGCAGCAACGGGGGGCCCCCCGTCCGCCGTGGGGCCCCGTGGCAGATGGTGGGGCCTCACCGGGGGAGGGGGGCCCCCCATCGTTATTCAAAAGAATATAACTAATTTTAATTAAATTTATATTTTATAGTTTAGGGTTTAGGGTTTAGGGTTTATGCAAGAAAAGCCTATGGGAAGTGGGGGGAGGTCATGCTCACATTTAGACTGTAAACCCTCGATCTGTGCAACAAAGTCTAAACCCTAAACCCTAAACGCTAAACCCTAATTTATACACCTCATGGACCATGGCTCTCCTTAGAGCCTTGGGTACTGGGAGACATATCTTAGGAGCTAGGGTTTAGGGTTTTACAAAATGAGGGTTTAGGGGTCGGAACTGAGGGTTTGACATTTAGGTGTTTTAGGGTTTAGGGTTTAGGGTTTAGGGTTTGTGGTATGCTATATATATAAGCATACGCCAGCAAATCACCAGGAGATCCTATTAACGGTGGTATAGGGTTTAGGGTTTAGGGTTTAGAGATGGATTGGTCCTTATGCTACGAACGCTGCAGCAGCAGCCCTCTCTATCTTCCCCCTCGTGGTGGTCGTCGTTGGCTGCCTGTGCTGCGTCTTGGTGCTTCTGTATCTCTGCAGCAGCAAGCTGCAGCAGCAGCAGCAGCAGCAGCAGCAGCAGGAACTGCGGCAGGATCATCAGGGGGCGATAAAACCACCGCACGAACCGCAGCAACCGCCGGATCATCATCATCGTCATCAGCAGCAGCAGCAGCAACAGCAGCAGCAGCAGCAGCATCAGGAGGGGGAGAAGTGCTGCTGCGGTTAGCCTTTTCTCCTTGTGGCAGTCTATTAGCTGCATGCACTTCTTATGGTAGTGTATCTGTATGGGACATAGAGACGGGTACAGCTGTGCTGCAGCTGCCGCTGCTGCTGCCTGCAGCAGCAGCAGCAATAGCATGGCACTGCAGCGGGGCCTATATATGGTTAGGGTGTATAGACGGCTCGTTGCTGCTGCTGCCTCTTCGTGCTGCAGCATTTGCTTCTTCTCCTTTATCCCCTCGTGGTCTATTTGCTGCTTCTTATAAATCAGCACATAAGGGGGGTGTATTGGGTGTTGCTGCTGTTGCTGCTGCTGCTGCAGCAGACTCAGCAGCAGCAAGCCGTCTCTGCTGGAGTTGCGGTGCTGATGGGTACTTACGCCTATGGGATCTACGGCAGCAGCGCGGTGCATGCATTGAGGTGTATGGACACTCTGCTGCTGCTGCTGCTGTTGCTGCTGCGCCTGATGGTAGTGCTGTTGCTACAGCAGGGGCTGATGGCTTGCTGCGGCTGTGGGGGGGCCCCTCGTTGCGTCCCCTTAAGACAGCAGATGGAGTAGGGGGCCCCTCTCTTGCTGCTGTTGCATGGAGTAGGACGGGGGCCCACCTCTTGTGTACCCGCAGCAGCAGCAGCAGCGACTATGAGGATGGTGGTGCGTGCGAAGGCGGTAATCGAGAGGAAAGTGCAACAACAGCAACAGCAGCAGCAGCACCTGCTGCTGCCACAGCGTCAAACCCACACAACTTCAACCAGCAGCAGCAGCAACAGCAGCAGCAGCAGCAGCAGCAGCACCGGTTCCCTGATGCAAAGGTGTGGAATCTAAGGTGTATGGGTCTTGCTGCAGCAGCAGATGCAGCAACTGCAGCATTTGCCGCAGAAGATGAGCGGCAGCAGGTGCTGCATGCAGACGAGCCAACAGCAGCAGCAGCAGCAGCAGCAGATGAAGCAGCAATCAATTGGAAGGCACTAGAGAGGCCTTTTGTTAATATTTTTTGCCCAGCAGCAACAGCAGAAGCTCGTGCTGTATGTGCGCAGCAGCAGCAGCGGCTGCTGCTGCGGAGAGCACCCGCTGCTGCTGCTGCTGCGGATGCGGTGCAGCAAACACAACAGCAGCAGCAGCAGCAAGACGGGTTGGCTGCTGCTGCATCCTGCGACGCTGTTGCAGCTGATAGCGCAGCAGCAGCAATAAAGACAGCAAGTGCAGCAACAGCAGCAGCACCTGCTGCTGCTGTAGCCGCAGCAGCAGGAGGTGCAGAAGAAGTATGGAGGCAGCTGCTGCCTTGTGGGGCTTTTTGGAGGGATCGCGTTTTGCTGCCAGCAGATTTTGGCTGCTGCTGCTGCTTTGCTGCAGCAACAGGAGATTTAGAGCAGCTGCTGCTGCGTCCCTGCTGCAGCAATTATCTCCAGCAGCAGCAGCAGCAGCGGGGAGTTGTTGCAGTACATCCTGATTGGAATGTTGGGGTTTGTGCTGCTGCCTTTGAAGGAGACAGCAGCATCTATTTATGGTGTCTCTCCTCCCAGCTGCAGCAGCAGCAGCAGCAGCACCCGCAGCAGCAGCTGCTGCAGCAAATGCAAGATGATATAGAGGCAGAAAAAATCATACTTAAGGCCGTACTACGCAGCTAAGGCTGCAGCAGCAGCAGCAGCAGCAGCAGCAGTATGTGCTGCTAATGCTGCTGATGTTGTTGTTGTGGCTGCGCTGCTGCAGTGCAGCACGGCGTGCAGCTATTGCTGCTACGGTTGTACCGCAGCAGCAGCAGCAGCAGCTGCTGCTGCTGCTTTTGCCTCTTTTCTAGGGAAGGAGAAATACCTTAACGCGTTTTAGGGTTTTAGGGTTTACTTAGGGTTTAGGTGGATTAGGGTTTAGGGTTTAGGGTTTAGGGTTTTGGGCGGAAGTTAGACACAGACACGAGGCTGCTGCAGCTTGTAGAAGCAACCGCTGTTGTTGTTGCTGCTGCTGTTGCTGCTGCTGCTGTTGCTGCTGCCACTGTTGCTGCTGCTGCTGTTGATGCTGCTGTAGCAACAGTAAACACTCATAGGCAGACAATATTTAGATATTTAGGGTTTAGGGTTTATCGAAGCATTTTCGGGTTTAGGGTTTACGGCCATTTGAGCCTTTCTAGACACTCTCTTCCTCCCCTTACTCTCAAAGGCTAGGGTTTAGGGTTTAGGGTTTAGGGTTTACGACCTATTGGTGTCTTTTTTATAATCTACTTATTTTATTTATTTATTATTTATTTTTAATTAATTAATTAATTAATTAAACAAATCAATTTATTATTTATTTATTTATTTATTTATTTATTTATTTATTTGTCTCCTTTCTGTCCTCTCTGTCCCCTTTCTGTCCTTTCTTTCTCTAAGTGTCTCCTTTTTCTGTTTCCTTGTATATTCTTCCTTTGTCCGTCTCCTTTCTTATTTATTTATTTATTTACTTATTTATTTATTTATTTATTTATTTATTTATTTATTTATTTTTCTTTTTATCTTTATGCCTTTAGGTGTCTCCTGCTTTGTTTTCTTTTCTTTTTCTTATTTATTTTCTTTTATAATGCCCTCTTATTACTCTTATGCAAATTGAGCAGCAGCAGCAGCAGCAGCAGCAGCAGTAGCATTAGAAGTAGCAGCAGCAGTAGCAGCACAGCAGCAGTAGGAAGAGGCGTACCAACAGCAGGAGTGGCTAAACATCAACAGTAGCAGCAACAGTAACAGCAGCAACAACAACACAAGCAGAAGTCGCAGCAGCAGCAGCAGCAACAGCAAAAGTAGATAACAGCAGCAGCAGCAAAAGTAGATAACAGCAGCAGCAGCAACGGCAGCAGCAGCAGCAGCAGCCGCCGCCGCAGGGAGTGCTGCATTTCAAGAGTATTTTATAATGTGTGACAAAGTTGAAAACATCCAAACCCTAAACCCTAAACCCTAAACCATCAACACTAGCCTCTAAACCCTAAACCCTAAACCCTAAACACTAAACCCTAATCGTACGTCATCGTCTGCAAGGTAGGAGCAGCGCGGCCGTGCAAAACCCTTGACCGTAAACAAGATCCAAACCCTAAACCCCAAACCCTAATCTTTAGACTGTGAACCCTAATCCTTAAACCCTAAACCATAAATCCATTAAAAAAACACTACATAAATAAATAAAGACACTAAACACTTCTTCCTTCTTGTCTAAACCCTAAGGGGTGGGGGGCCCCCTGGAGCCGCGGGGCCACCACCGTTAGACCCTAGACCATAAACCCTAAACCCTAGACCCTAAACCCTAAACCGTAAACCCTAAATTTCAATTAGTGCCTTGGTGTGACTTGCAATGCCATCGAGCAGAAACACTTCCTCAACTAGCTGCAAACGGGCATCCGCAAACCCTAAACCCTAAACCCTAAACCCTAAACCCTAAACCCTTGGGCGCTCATCGTCTCACCGGGCCCCTTATATACGCTTCCTAACATTTCTAAACCCTAAACCCTAAACCCTAAGCCATCAATATGCATGACTAGCGCGAATGCCCGCTGAGGTGTATCTCCGCCTATTAGCGGTCGGCCCTCGTTAGGGCCGGCCTTCTTCCCTGCAGCAGCAGCAGCCGCAGAAGCAGCGGCAGCAGCAGCAGCAGCAGCAGAGGCAGCAGCAGCAACAACAATGCGCTCTCCCCTAGAAGCGCCCTTCGCCCCTGTGGGGGCGATGGAGGAGCAGCAGATGCTGCAGGTCAGGGCCTGCACAGAGAGCGAATTTGAAGGTAAGCTAAACCCTAAACCCTAGATAAGCCCTAAACCCTAGCCAAACCGTAAACCCTAGCCAAGCCCAAAACCCTAGTCAAACCCTAAACCCTAGCTAAACCCTAAACCCTAGCCAGACGGTAATCCTTAGGAAAGTCCTAGATATGCACTTCGTAGCGGAGATGTGTGTCTTAGTAGTCTTAGTAGAGTACCTAATCCGTAGGAATCTACGACTAGGGTTTAGGGTTTAGGGTTTAGGGTTTAGGGTTTGTGGGCAGAGTCGTACACCGCCATCACCGCTGTTGACGCGATTATGGATGAAGGAGTGTTTGAGCATCTTAAGAAGTACAGCAGCTACAAATACTCTCTCTATCAGCAGCGGAAGCAGCAGCAGCAGCAGCTGCTGCAGCAGCAGCGGCAACAACTGCAGCAACGACTGCAGGAAGTTCAGGCAAGCCTGCAGCAGCTCCAGGATGCAGCAAGGCAGCAGGAGCAGCAGCAGCAGCAACAACAACAGAAGCAGGAGGAGCAGCAAGATGCTGCTACTGCTGATGTAGTAGTTGACACTGGGGAGCCACAGACCAAACAGGAGGAGGAGCAGCAGCAGCAGCAGGAGCTGCAGCAGCTGCAGCAGGAGCAGCAGGAGCTGCAGGCTCAGCTGAATGAGTTGCAGAGGCAGCAGCAAATGGAGGTTTTGAATGAGTTTGCTGCAATCCGACGCATAAACAACGTAAACCCTAAACCCTAAACCCTAAACCCTAATCCCCGATTGTCTAAACCCTAAACCCTACTCGTCGATCTTGTAAACCCTAGGAGGTGTCAAAACCGTCCGCCCATCGAAACTCCTCCCTGCTCCGTTGCTCCCTACATCTTACCTCCTCAGAAATTAAGGTTTAGGGTTTAGGGTTTAGGGTTTGTGCTGCAGGAAGCATGCACCCTCTTGGCTAGCAACTATGAGGGGTATGCATGGATGTGTCAGGTAGCAGCAAGAGTAACAGAGTTGCTGCACCTCCCTGATGATACAGATTTAACAGAGGGGGCCCCCCCGGGGGGCCCCCTAGGGGCCCCCCAAGGCCATCCCCCCCAAAGAGTTCCCTTGGGGGGCAGGCGGCAACATGGGGGGGCCCCTGGTGGAGTACCCGGGGGGGCCCCTGTTGGGGGGCCCCCTGGAAGCTCCATGGGGGGCCCCAATGAGGGGGCCTGGGGGGGGTCCTCAGGAGGGGGCCCTGGGGGCCCCGATAGGTCGCATACAAGTGATGCTGCAGCGCAGCAAAAGCAGCGGGAGCTGCAGCAAGAGCAGGAGCAGCAGCTGCTGGGTTACAGCAGATCCAGCAGCAACAAGAAGCTTGAGCTGGCCTCTGCTGATAGTGTTGTACGTATACTGCTGTTGCTGCTGTTGCTGCTGCTTCTGCTGTTGCACGCTGTAAACGCGCGTGCCAGTTTGCTGAAAAGAAGGGTTTGCCGTCTTTAGGGTTTAGGGTTTAGGGTTTGGGGTTTGTGCCTGCAGCTCATAGCCGCGTTGTGCGAACTCCTTGCGACGAAGTACAACTCCCATGTCTCAAGTAGGTGGCAGAAGTAAACCCTAAAGAGTAGGGTTTAGGGTTTAGGGTTTAGAATGTAGGGTTTACGGTTTAGGGTTTAGAGTGTAGGGTTTAGGGTTTAGGGCTTATTAGGGTTTGTTACGTTTCTCAGGGAAGCTGTTGCAAGACAAATCGCAGCACGGCAGTTGGCAACCTCCTCCCTTCTACTGGCATCTGTTCGATGTATGTAACCCTAAACCCTAAACCCTAAACCCTATCCCTAGACATACTTGCTGCAGCTGTTGCTGCTGCAGCTGGTTTGCTGCTGGCATCAATTTTATGCGTTAATCTATATAAAGGCGTTTTCTGAGGGTTTGTTTTCTATTTGCCAACTTAAGATTTTAGAATTTAGAATTTAGAATTTAGGGTTTAGGGTTTAGGGTTTAGGGTTTAGGGTTTAGGGTTTTGTATGAAAATTTTCAGCATCCAAGTATAGTACGTCAAATGCTTCAATTATATCGGCAGAGACCACAAGACGAATTCCTCGCTTGTTGGTTCGAAGATTTTTCCTTACATCAAAGACAGCCGCCACTATCTCATCTTCTTCCTTCTGGATCCGATGCTGTACAAACCGCTAATGTAAGGGTTTAGGGTTTAGGGTTTAGCGTTTAGGGTTTAGAGTTTAGGGTTTTGGTGGGTTGGGATGGGCTGAGGGTTTAGGTGGGTTTAGGGTTTAGGGTTTAGGGTCTGGGATTTAGGGTTTGGGGTTTGGGGTTTGGGGTTTAGGGTTTGGGGTTGGGTTCCGCCAGACAGGTGGTGATGATGACCGTTAGGGAGATAGTTCCCGTTGTTGTTGTTGCTGCTGCTGTTGCTGCTGTGCTGCAGCTGCTGCAGCAGTCCCGCTTAACGAGCAACTTTTCGGTGTTTACGCTGCGAGTCAGCGAGGAGTTGAGAAGCTTTCTCCTCCGGGTAAGGGTTTAGGGTTTAGGGTTTAGGGTTTACAGTACACCTTAAACCCTAGTTCTGGGGGCCTTCCGTAGTCTCAGTAGAGCAGTTTTGCCCGGTAGTCTAAGACCTAGGGTTTAGGGTTTAGGGTTTAGGGTTTGCGTTTCAGGACGAGCGTGAGGAATTGTTTTCTATGAACTTGTCTAACATATCCTCCCTCTTTCTTCACGCGGGTAAGTCGCCGCTGTGTAGGGTTTGCGCTCTCTAGGGTTTAGGGTTTAGGGTTTAGGGTTTAGGTGTGACCTTCTGTTTTCTTGTTACAATTTTTTAGTTTTTGTAAATATGTTATCTGCGTGCACCTTCGTCCCTCTACCTGCCTCTGTATCTAGTGTTTAGGGTTTAGGGTTTTAGGGTTTAGGGTTTAGGGTTTAGGGTTTGTGAGCAGAAAATGCATATTTCTACGCCCTCGCCCTCTTTATCTTTGTTGCTGGTTGGCGTCCGGACCTGTGCGGTGCCCGTCGTCTAGCTCAATTGTTAACTCGCTTGGTGGTGCAGCCGGGTGGGGTTGCTGCTGCTGCTGCTGCTGTGCAGCAGCAGCAGCAGCAGCAGCAACTGCAGCAAGGAGAGGCAGCAGCAGATGAGGCCCACCCCTCTCCTGATGCAGCAGCAACTCACATGCCAACGCAGGTGGAGAGACAGCGAGAAGTTTCTGCTGCTCAGCTGTACTTACTCCTATCCAACTTAGATGAGTAAGTTTAGCAGCAACAGCAGCAGCAGCAGCAGCAACAACAGCAGCAGCAGCAGCAGGAGTAGCAGTATCTAGGGTTTCCTCCTATGCTTGATTCTTTCTTTTGTTTTCTTCATCCATCTTGCCGAATTTCACCTTTATGATTTTATGGTTTAGGGTTTAGGGTTTAGGGTTTAGGGTTTGGGGTTTAGGGTTTAGGGTTTAGGGTTTATTGTTTGTGCAGGTTTCCTCGTTTGGCTACATTATTTAGAAGTATAACTCGTTCTCTTTTTATAGGGGTGGATATACACCTGGCGCCTGCAGATGCATGCGATTTATGTGACATAGTAGAGCAGCTGCTGCAGCAATTCGAGCAGCAGCAGCAGCTGCTGTATGAGAGGCCTGCTGCACCAAAAAAAACACCAGCAGCAGCAGCAGCAGTAGCAACAGCAGCAGCAGCAGGATATGATGATGATGGTGATGATGATGCTGCAGTCAAGATGGAGGGCAGCAACACCTTGGGAGGTGGTTCTGCTGCTGCTCAGCAGCAGCACGCACAGCAGCAGCAGCAGCAGCAGCAGCAGCAGCAGCAGGCGCAGCTGCAACAATGCCACCAACCACGTCTTGCTTCTTCGATGCACCTCCAGCAGCAGCAGCAGCAGCAGTATTTGCACGGGATGCAGCATATGCCCCCAGCTATACATATGCATCAGCAACTGCAGCAGCAGCAGGAGGAAGAGGAGCAGGAGGAGCAGCAGCAGCGCAGCAAGAGGCGACGCAGCATTGATGAGAGTGTCCTAACTATCGACAGCAGCAGCAGCAGCGACAGCAGCAGCCTTAGCAGCAGCAGCATCAGCAGCAGCACCCTTAGCAGCAGCACAACTGGATTTAGCGCCATGCGTATGCAGCAGCAGCAAGCAGAGCAGCAGCAGCAGCAGCAGCAGCATATGCAACAGCAAACCCTTGCGCATCAGCAGCAGCAGGCATATTACATGCAACAACAGCCGCAGCAGCAGCACCAGCTGCTGCAGCAGCACGTGCAGCAGCAGCAGCAAGCTGCTGCTGAGGGGGAAGAAGAAGTCTTAGAGATGCCATCAGCAAGTCAATATGGCATCTCAAGGCCTTGGCATTTAGAATACCGCAGAACGCGGTAAACCCTAAACCCTAAACCCTAAACCCTAAACCCTAAACCCTAAACCTTAATAATCCATATACCCGTAAATCCTAAACCCTTAATAAACCCTAAACCCTTAATAAACCCTAAACCATAGCTTGTATCCTGCTGCTGCTGCTGCTGTTGCTGCTGCTGCAGGGGTGCCCCTGTGGAGCCACCATTGGCTGCATTGAGGGAGACTGCGTTATTGGATTCTTTGCTGGATGATTTTGTAAACCCTCGTTTGCTGCTGCAGCAGAAGCATCAGACAACGCATAGACTCAGCAGCAGCACCAGCAGCTTTGGGGGAGGAGGGGAGCCTCAATTCCTTAAGTACGCAAACCTCCTTGTTGCTCTCTGCGTCCGCAGTGCTTATGAGTTAACACGCAGGTGGTGGGAGGGACGCAAGCAGCAGAGGCAGCAACAGCAGCAGCAGCAGCAAATGCTGCTGCAGCACGACCACGAACAACCAGCCGAACATGAACCATGGCAATTCGATGGAGACCCAGAAGAAATGCAAAGAAGCTCTGATGAGGTCAGCCATATATTTCTAGGGTTTAGGGTTTAGGGTTTAGGGTTTAGGGTTTGTATCATACTATAAGCATTAGTTTCTGTATTCCTTCGTCTTTTCTCTTCATAACCCCCAACATCATATTATCCATCATTTATAATTAAAAATTAAAAATTAAAAAATAAAGAGTAAAAATTTTAGGGTTTAGGGTTTAGGGTTTAGGGTTTAGGGTTTAGGGCTTAGGGTTTGAGATTTTTTTTTTTAGTGGTCTAGTAATCATTCATCAATTTCGGACATTTCTGATTCTGAGCATCAAAGACTTCAAATGGAAGATTTATTCGAAGAGCCAGAGCATCACTTACCAGGTATATATCTGCAGCAGCTGCAGCAGCAGCAGCTGCTGCAGCAGCAGCAGCAGCAGGTGGCGGTGGTGATGGTGGTGCTGCTGTTGTTGGTGTTGTTGTTGTTGCTGCTGCTGTATCGTTTGGTGCTGCTGTTGCTGCTGCTCTTTTTGGTGACAGCGAAAGGTGCTGCTGCAGCTCATGCTGCTGTGGATGTTGGGCTGCGCCTGTGGGGGTAGTAGCTCCTGCTGCTGCTGCTGTTGCTGCTGCTCGATATAACTGCTTTTTATGTGCTTGTGGTGCATCTGCTTCTGCTTCTGTTGCTGCAACCAATATTTGACTGCTGCTGTTCCCGCTGCTGCTGCTGCTGCTGCTGCTGCAGGTGCCTCCTTTAGAACACAGCAGCAATTCTTCAAGCACCAGCAAGTAGAGGACAAGGCCCCGCCTGCGCTTCTCCTGCAGCAGCAACAGCAACAGCAGCACCAACTATTCCTGTCGCAGCAGCAGCAACTGCACCCGCTGCAGCAGCAGCAACAGAACCATCCGCAACAGCAACTCTACACACCAGACCAGCTGATGTACATGCAGCAGCAGCAGCAACAGCAGCAGCAGCAGTTTATGCTACATGGGGCTCATTCGATGCAACAACTGCAGCAGCAGCAGCAGCAGGGACCCCCATTAAGTCATCCCTACGATATGATGCAGCAAGAGATGCAGCAGCAGCGCTTGCAGCAGCACCACCAACAGCTGCAGCAACAACAACTGACGCCCTTGCAGCAGCAGATACAGCAGCATCAGCAACAGCAGCAACTGCAACACCAACAGATGCAACAGCAGCAGCTACAGCACCAGCAAGAACAGCTGCAGCACCAACAGATGCAGCAGCACCAGCAGCAACAGATGCAGCAGCAACAAATGCTACAACAGCAGCAGTTTGGACAGCAGCTGCTGCACCAACAGCTACCACAGCAGCAGCTGCAGCAGCATGGGCTCCAGCAGCACCAGCTGCAGCAGCATGAGTTCCAGCAGCAACAGATGCAGCAGCAACAGATGCAGCAGCAACAGATGCAGCAGCAACATATGCAGCAGCAGCAGATGCAGCACCAGATGCAGCAACAACAGATGCAGCAGCACCAGATGCAGCAACAGCAGATGCAGCAGCAACAGATGCAGCAGCACCAGCTCCAACAGCAACAGCTGCAGCAGCAGGGGCTCCAGCAGCACCAGTTGCAGCAGCCGATGCAGCAGCCGTTGCAGCAGCAGCAGCTGCAGCAGCTGCAGCAGCAATATTACTCTTCTGGGCAGCAGGAGCCGCAGCCAAACCCGCTTCGATTGGAGCAGCAGCAGCAGCAGCAGCAGTTGTACCTGCAGCAGCAGCAACAGCAGCAGCAGCAGCAACAGGAGCCGCAGCTGCTGCTAGCTGAAGCTCTCAACTCAGAAGAAGGTTGGGAGAAGAGAAGTGATTACGACTCATGTATGCTGCTGCTGCTGCTGCTGCTGCATTTGGTGCTGCTGCTGCAGTTGCTACTGCTGCATTTGCTGTTGTACTTGCTGCTGCCGCTGCATTTGTGCTGCTGCATTTCTTGCTGCTGTTGCTGTTGCCGCTGACTTCAAAATCTTTAATGTGTTGTGTTTGTCTGTGCATGCGTTTTGCTGCTGCAGCATCTGTGACGCAGAGCAGCAGCAGCAGCAGCAGCAGTAGCAGCAGCAGCAGCAGCAGCTTGGCCTCAAGCAGCATTGTAACATCAGTGACTCCTTCTGCTGTAGGCAATCGGGAGTGGCATAACGAGGATCAACAACAACAGCAGCAGCCATGGCAGCAGCTGCAGCAGCACCAGCTGCAGCAGCAGCAGCAGCAGCAGCAGCCGGTATATTATGGTGGTGGTAAGGCATTCAACGCATACAATTCCCCAGAAAGTATCCCTATATCTTCTGCTCCTTCTTCCTCCTCTCCCTCTTCCTCCTCTGCTGCTGGTGGAGCAGCAGCAGGAGGAGAACAACAACAACCACCACCAACAGCAGCAGCAGCAGGAGGAGGAGCAGCAGCAGACACAAGCAGCTTACTAGGTAGCGAGGTATATATAAGTGCTAGCGGGCGCAACAGACTAGGAAAAGGGAAACATTTACCACAAAGACAACAACAAAGAATAAATAAAAGATTTATTTTATACACTAAATCTGTTGATAGTTATAAAGCTATTGCTAGAAAAGAATTACTCGAGGTAAAAAAAAAAACCCTAAACCCTAAACCCTAAACCCTAAACCCTAAAAAATCCTAAACCCTAAAATATCCTAAAAAGCCCTAAACAAGTCTAAAAAGCCGTAAAAATGCACTCGCAGGGAAGGGGGGATAGGGGAGGGAGAAGAAGGGTTTTTGGGTTTACTTGGGTATATTCTTGTTAAGGTTTAGGGTTTAGGGTTTAGGGTTTAGGGTTTGTGGTTTCAGATATATCGTATATGCCGGAGGGAAGATTGGGGTTTAAGCGATAAATGGCATGCAATGTTGGGGTGTATAGGCACCAATGTTGCTGCATCTGCTGTCTTATCATTTGTACGTCAGCAGCTTCTTGGTAGCAGCAGCAGCAGCAGCAGCAGCAGCACTGCAGCAGCAGCTGCTGCAGCAGCAGATGCAGCAGCAGACCCACTACTTATGGTTACTGATGGACTCCTCGTCCTCCTTAAGTTCATGGTGGATCTACACCGCAACAAGAGGCCCCCAGTAGTAGACCTCCTAGGGTATGCATGCATGCATGCAGGCAGCAGCAGCAGCAGCAGCAGCAGACACAACAGCAGTAGGACAGGGGCAAGGGTTATTGATGGTGGTTGCAGGATAACGTATGCCTGGGTTTACCCTTCAGAATTCTAGGGTTTAGGGTTTAGTGTTTAGGGTTTAGGGTTTAGGGTTTTGTTGGGTGTTCAGGAGATTATTTGTATCGGGCGGAAACCGCCGCGAAGCCCCAGCCTTTGCTGAGAAGCGCATGGAGGTATTTTAAGGGTTTAGGGTTTAGGGTTTAGGGTTTAGGGTTTAGAGATTTGTGTTAGTCCGTCGTTTGAACGGCAAACGTCATTCTGTTGCTGCTCCTTTTGTTGCTGCTGCTGCTTGCCTGTGCTGCTCGTTCAATTGTGCTGCTGCTGCTGCTGCTGCTGCTGTTGCTGTTTGTGCTGCTGCTGCTGCTGCAGCGGCGAGTGGCTATCGCCCGGTTTTGGCTATACGTCTGCAAATACGAAGGCGAATTTGTTGCTGTTATATCCGTCTTTAAGCGCGTTGTAAGCCCTAAACCCTAAACCCTAAACCCTCAACACAGAAACCTTAGTAGATATCGAGCATGAAACCATCAACCCTAAACCCTTATTTCTCTCGTGCAGATATATGCTAACAGAAGCAAGGGTTTGTCATGGATATGGACTAAACAATCTAGGGTTTAGGGATTAGGGTTTAGGGTTTAGGGTTTAGGGTTTGTGATGTGTTACAGTACTCCCACACGGACCGCAGCATTTGCCGTTTTTTTCTGTCGGAGTTGTTGCGTCTTTGTGGTCCTCCTTTTGCTTCTTACTTTTGTTTAACTCTTTTACAATTAATACTACAAGTCATGTCAACAGGTCTAATAAACCCTAAACCCTAAACCCTAAACCCTAAACCCTATATTGTTTCTAAGAGCTTAGGACACTTGTGCGTTGGGCTGGTTTCATGATTTGCCAACATTCACATTCGGAACCGTTGGTTTCTGGGTTTTAGGTTTTAGGGTTTAGGGTTTAGGGTTTAGGGTTTGTGCTCAGAGAAGAGTGCATTTAGAGGGAGCGAAGCGGAGGGGAGGCGATTGTCTTCTGCTGTTCTTTCTTTTATTGATCAAACCCTCCGATTCTGTAATGCTCCTAACCCCGTGCCTACTGAGGTAAACCCTTATTCTAGGGTTTAGGGTTTAGGGTTTAGGGTTTAGGTGTTTATGCTAGGGCTTTTAGGGTTTAGGGGTGGATATTGGGGTTCAGGGTAAATGGATAGGTGTTAGCGCTTTGACCCTAGGGTTTACGGTTTAGGGTTTAGGGTTTGTTCTTGTGCTGCTGCTGCTGCAGGTAGCTGAGCTGGCTCAGGCAGTGCGCGTTCGCTTGCTGGCTCTGCCGCAAGAAGACGCTTGAGGGTTTAGGGTTTAGGGTTTAGGTTTTAGGGTTTAGGGTTTACGGCTCATACCCTAAAACAAACAACTGCTAGACGCAGGATGTCTTTTAGGCCTTTTTCTTGTTTTTGTTTTCTAGGGTTTAGGGTTTAGGGTTTATTGTTTAGACTTTTAGGGTTTAGGGTCTAGGGTTTAGAATTCTAGGGTTTAGGGTTTAGGGTTTAGGGTTACAAATAGAGATGAAAGGGCTTAAACCCTTTTGGACAAAAGATACAAACAAAGGAGATAAGCAATTTATAGATAATAAATTATTAATAATAATAAATAAATAATAATATAGTATTTATTATAATAAATAATATAATAAATATACACAACTAATAAGACAACAAAAAAGAAAAGACAGTCTGCTGCAGCAGCTGCTGCAGCAGCAGCAACAGAAGCAACAGCAGCAGCAACAGAAGCAACAGCAGCAGCAACAGCAGCAACAGCAACGGTAACATTAGCAAGCAGAAACGGCTACCAGCAACAATAGCAAACAGCAACAACAGCAGCAGGAACAGCAGCATCAGCAGCAGGAGCAGCAACAGCACCACTAGCAGGAATACGTAGCAGCAGTATGCTGCAACAAATAACAGCAACAGGAGACAGAAGCAACAACAGCAACAAGTAGCAGCAGCAGCAGCAGCAACAGCAGCAGCAGCAGTAACGGCAGTACGTGGCATCCGTTACATGGAGGGTTGCTAGCGGATAGGAGAAGGAAGAGCACCTTCTGTACGTTTGTTAGCGCGGTGTATACACACAGTACCTCTTACTAGGGTTTAGGGTTTAGGGTTTAGGGTTTACCTTTCTACTGTGTGTAAACCCTAAACCCTAAACCCTAAACCCTCGCTAGACCCCGAGTCAGTCTTCAGGATTTGTTATAAGGGCTACTTGGGGTATAACGGTATATTCTTGCACCTCCTTAGGAGGTAAAATGCATAAAAATTATATTAAATATAATTAAATGATTAATATTCAATTAAAAAAGGAAAAAAACAAGAAAATAAAGGAAGAAAGAGGGGGGAGGTCACCGCCTCTCCACCGGACCACCCGTGCAGTCTTGGCGGATAAAAGTTGAATTTTGGGGGGTTTTGCCTCTTTTTCCCTTTTTTTGTGTTTTTTTAAATAAAAAATAATAAATAAATTGATTAAATTAAATAAAAATACTCAATTTACACAAAAAACTTCAAGAAATACCACAAAACCACCAAAAGCCACCGGCATGAGGGGGGTCCTCGGGTGGCGCCGACGCGGACGGCAGCAATGGGAGATGACAGCAGCAGCAGCAGCAGCAGCAGCAGCAGCAGAGGCAGCAGCAGCAGCAGCAGCAGCAGCAGCGGAGTTTCCCCGTTTTTGTTTCTTTTGGTATAAGTCGGCATATAAGAAGTTAATTTTGTTTATTTCTTCTTCTTCTTTTCTTGTCTTCTCTTAACTCTCTTCTTCTTGCTGCAGCACCACCCACACCGTCTGCTGCTGCTGCTGTTGCTGCTGCTGCTGCTGTTGCTGCTACTGCTGCTGCTGTTGCTGCAGGTCACCTCTCTCACCACAGATTCTACAAGCCCAATCTATTTCCCTTTTGCTTCTTCTTGTTTATTTCTTAGAACAGGAGGGCATTTTTGCTGCTGCTGCTGCTGCAGCTGCTGCAGCAGCAATACCCTATACGAATTTATTACACACAGGGTCACCGCCACTGCAACACAGGGAACCGAACAGCAGCAGCAGCAGCAGCAGCAGCAATAGCAGCATCAACAACAGAAACACCAGGAGCAGGAGCAACAGCAGCAACAGCCGCAACAGCAGCAACAGCAACAGCAGCAACACCTTACGGGTGTGTGCACACCTCAACTGTCCCGCCATTCATTCACCTATGGCCTGCAGCTAAGGCAGAAGAACAGCAGCAGCAGCAGCAGCAACAGCAGCAGCAGCAACAGCAACAGCAGCAACAGCAGCAGTTGCGCCACACAGACAGGCCTGTGTTCTTACAAGCAGCAGCATCAGGTGAGAAATCACCACGTATCCTGCTGTTGCTGCTGCTGTTGCTGCTACTGTTGCTGCTGCTGTTACTGCTGCTGTTGCTGCTTCTGCTGCTGTCTTTGCTGCCGTCTTTGCTGCTGTGTTTATATTTATATTTTATTTACTTTTATTTGCTGTTTTCTTCTTTTTGTCTCTTTTTATTCTCCCTTTTCTTCTTCTTTGTTTCCTTTCCTTTGTCTTTAATGCTGCAGCAGCAACAACAGCAGCAACAACAGCAGCAACAACAGTAACAACAACAGCAGCAACAACAGCAGCAACAGCAGCAACAGCAGCAACAGCAGCAACAGCAAGACCACCACCGCCGCTACCAGCAGCAACAGCAACAGCAACAGCAACAGCAACAGCAACAGCGGCAACATCAGCAACACCACCAGCAATACAATCAGCAACAGCAGCAGCAGCAACAACAGCAGCAACAGCAGCAGCAGCAGCAGGATCTGTGTGTTGTATATATAAATCCCTTAATAAGCCAAGCATATCTCATGGATACACCGTCTCCCCTGCTGCTGGGGTCTTTATCTCCCCCTCAGCAGCAGCAGCAGCAACAACAACAGCAGCAGCAGCAGCAGGATCAACAGCAGCAGCAACAGGAAGAATGTGTAGAAACTTGCTGCTGTATTCGTTCTTTTTGCTGCTGCAGCAGCCCTCCTGTCTCCTTTGCTGCAGCAGCAAAGAAATATTTTCTTGTTTCTTCTATACTAAAAGAAAAATTAAATGTTTCTTGGAGGATAAATGATTTCCTTGCTGTATGGTCATTAGCTAAAAGAAGATGTAAACCCTAAACCCTAAACCCTAAACCCTAAACCCTAAATATATGGACGAGAAAACGTGTTCATTGAGCGAAATGTTGTGGAGGATATTTTGTGCATGGGAGTCCCAATTCTCTTTGCATAATTTTTGTTCTTCCCCTATGCCTGTTTATATTGTTGTTGCTCTTACTGCTGCACTTACTGCTGCTACTGCACTTACTGCTGCACTTACTGCTGCTGCTGCTGCTGCTGCTGCTGCTGCAGTTTTACGCCCACGTGTTGAAGACCAATTTGTTGATTCCCATTTTTTTGGTGATTTATCATGTCGATGGTTTTTACGATTATACCCTTGGGGAGATAATAAAAATAATGGATATTTAGAGTTATATTTAATGTTAGATAGTAGTCTACCTAAGGATATATTAGTACATTATAAGCTACAAGTTATTAAACCACCTAAACAACAGCAGCAGCAACAAATACAGCAGCAGCAGCAACAGCTGCAGCAACAACAACAACATATCCATAGGGGTGAGAGAGCAGATAGGGATAGAAGGCAACGCCAGCAGCAGAGGAGACATAGAACTCATTTTGATGATAATGCAGCAAATACTGCTGCTGCTGCAGCAAATGCACCAAATAGTGCAGCAAGTAGTGCAGCAAATAGTGCAGCAAATGCAGCAAATACTGCAACAGCAACTACTACTGCAGCAATAACAACAGCAAGTAGTCATAGATATAGGGATGATATTCATAATAGAAGAAGGAGAAGACATAGAAGGGATCCTATGCAGCAGCATGACAGCAGCAGCAGCAGCAGCAGCAGCAGCAGCAGTAGCAGTAGTAGTAGTAGTAGTAGTAGTAGTAGTAGTCGTGCAGCAACAGACGCAGCAGCAGGGGAGCAGCAAAGACATCCAAGAAATAGTCGCAGTGGCTGCAGCAGCAGCAGCAGCAGCAGCAGACATCTTCAGCAGCAACAATCTCACCGTCACCGCAGCAGCAGCAGTAGCAGTAGCAGCAGCAGCAGCAGCAGCGAAGGTCGTCGTCACCGTCGTAGTCGTAGTCACAACCGTACATCGCGAACAACAAGAACAAGAACAAGAACAACAACAACAAGCAACAACAGCAGCAACAACAGCAGCAGCAACAGCAGCAGCAGCAGCAGCAGCAGCAGCAGGAGAAGGTATACAAGAGGGAGGGAGAGGGAAGCAAATAGAATAATTGGCTACGAGGATAGCGATGTTTATAACAAACAAGAACCAGGAGTTGGATATGGGCCTACACATCTATGTGATGGTCTGCTGCTGCTGCTGCTGCTGCTGTTGCTGCTGCTGCTGCTGGTGCTGCTGTTGATGTTGTTGCTGTTGTTGCTGCTGTTGCTACTGTTGCTGCTGTTGTTGTTGGGAAGTGGGGTTGATGATAAGTCTTGAGATTTATATATATAATATTCTGTCTTGTTGTTTCTGCTGCTGCTGCTGCC